ATTCATAATTTACTTCGTGTACACAATCTAGTGTTTTTTCTAGAGGATTCTATCTTACGATTTTATAAAAGAAGTTATAGAATGTATACCACTGAATAAAGAAACCTATCCTCGGAGTTTTCATGTGTTACTGCAACTTATACATCAGAGGATTCTATCTTACGAATCTAGTGTTTATTTTTAATGTTGTTTTCAAATTTATCAAATGTCAATGTAGACGCTAAAGACCTGTAGACAGAGAGAGAGAGAGAAAGTCTCCATGATGCACGCGGGGGGGGGGAGTAAAGAAGATAACAAGGGGGAGGGAACTCTAACCCCCAATTGACCCAGTCTCACCTCGGTCGGGTCTGCTCACCAAGTGGAAGTTCCCAGACCAACTGTGTTTGTTGAGAAAGCAAAACTTTCTCTTTCCCAACTATTTCCACATGTCGGTTGACAGAGGGGATCTTTTACGATTGCTCTACACGTCGGTGGAAACTTGGAGCTTTCAGAGAATGGCATAGCTAAAATTGGTCTTCATAATCATTTTTATTCCTAGTAGACACGTCCTACAGGCTATGATAGTCATGGTGGGTAGTATTTAGAGACTGCATTTATTGCTAGTGCATCACATGTCTACACATGTGTGGAATACAGTTCAACTATACGATTTTTTTAAGAATGCGGGATTCAATCCCGAGTCGTTGCGATCGAAAACCAACGGTTTAGACCATCCTTCCACCGACCCTCCCATGACCTTTTTAAATTTACATATAAAATTATGCTGAATATCATTATCTTGTATATGCTTGAGAGGAAAAATTTCATCCAAAGAAGATCTTCCGAGCTGTACGCGTGTTAGGTGAGCATTCTACAATTTAACCATCAATCTGTTTTGATGTAGTAATATCTAATGAGGAATGATCGTGGTGTTCTGTCCATGGAGCAGGACAAATCGGTCCATGTACTCTGTGTGCAATCTTGGCTAACTGAGGAATGATCGTGATGTCTTGTCCATGTAACAGATCAAATCAGCCCATGTACTCTGTGTATACAATCTTGACTAACTGAGGAATGACGAATGATTTAGAGAAGAGAAAAACGAGAAGATATTATTGAAGCATACAAATGATAATAAACTAGACATAACTCCGCGATAGTTTAAAACTCTCATCCAGGCAAGAGTTTATTGCGATCCTATGGATGAAATAATGTTCAATTTCAGTCAGTGATATATTCATCTTATACTCGTAACTTAGGCTTCAATAGAAACTCCTTCTTGGATGAAAATTTTCCTCTCAAGCATACAAAATGGATAATGATATTCAGCATAATTTTATATGTAAATTTTAAAAGGCTAGGGGGGTCGGTGGAAGGATGGTCTAAACCGTTGGTTTTGGACCGCAACGACCCGGGATCGATCCCGCATTGAGCACTTTTTCTAATAAAAAAAACGCTCCAATCGCCCCCGATTCATGTAAAAGTCCAACCCCACCAGCGATTACAAGCAACAAACGGGGCTCAGGCACATTTGTAAGTGCAAAAGTCGAACTGCTTTTCACATATGTAGACATGTGGTGCACTTACAGTAAAAACAGTCACCAACTTCTTCCTACCATGATTTTCAAAGCCTGTACCACATGTAATTGGTATAATTTTTAAAAAGGCCGAAAAATGGAGGTTCTTCTTCTAAAAAAATACAAAAAAAACTCCCAATTTAGATTCCTAGTTTAGTTTTTGAAGAGGGAAGTGGAAAAATAGTTTTTATAACAATTAACTATTAAATATATGGACCACGCTATTTCGCCACCTCGGCAGGAAATGGACAAACCTGGCAACGACTGATGGTCGACCCAAATATATGTTGGCGCCTGATAATGGGGGCTTTAAAATTCTGGGTGTTAAATCAGAGTTGATTTAAGATTGATAAGTTCTCGTCCCGTACCTAGAGGTCTTAAATAAGGAATAGACTATAACGAGGGTTATATATAATAATAATGAGGGCTTTAAAAATGCTGGGTGTTAAATCAGAGTTGATTTAAGATTGATAATAGATGGAAATTTTAGCCATAGATTTGGCCCAGCCACTTTGCCAGCTAAACATCTCTTTGGCAGATTGTCAAGATTCCATTAGATCCCATGTGGATCTCATGAAATAAAGTCCGCCCTAGGCTGACGAGGGCCATTAGCCCGAAACCATGATCTCTAGGTTGGCGCTTTTCAGTTTGCAAATGCTGGTGTTGTGGCTTTGTTACCGACCCGAGACCGCTAGTTTGCGGTGACGGTCAATAGATGGCGTCTAGTTTTGACGTCAATTTTGACGGGAGAGGTGACCTTTGTCTCTTTAAGATTGATAAGTTCTCTCTCGTCCCTAGGTCTTAAATAAAGAAAACACTACAACATATTGTGTGATGCGGGAGGATGGTACTCATGTACTAAAAGAAGTACCTCTCACTATATATATACATTAAAATAATGCACTATCATCCCAGTAAAAACTTTAATGCAGTGATAAAGAATAAGCTAAAACACCAGTTTTGGCAAGTTCAGATAAAAAGCCAAACTGAATATCATGATTTCGTGCTATGGCCTTCCTCAGTACAGGGGCGGTTTTGATTTCATAACAATCAATAAGAGGAGTTAACAAGGGCTTTAAAAATTCTGGGTGTTAAACCAGAGTTGATTCAAGATTGATAATTTCTCGTCCCGTAGCATAGCTAGGTCTTAAATAAGGAATAAACTACAATACAATGTTGTAAGAGGATGTTACTCATGTACTATAAAAGGTACCTCTCACTTTATATATGCATTATAACAATGTAGTTCAACTTTTTATTCAACTATAAATACAAAGCGCGATGCCCCGCCAAGGACACTGGTGCCCAATGGAAAAGCAATACAAGAGAGAGAGAGAATCTATTTATATATCCAAAACATATGCACAAAGGCATTTACCATATTCTTGAAATTGGTTTCAAACAAGCATACTATATACATAGGTAATTTAATTTAAACACACATCAAAATAAAGAAGAAAAAAACATTATATACAGCACATACAGTTACAATTATACTTAACACTTGAGATTAATTAAGAACTTTGATATAAATTTACAAAATCTATTGAATTCAATATATGAAACTCTTAGAAAGAGGGAATCATATATCGCCGCAACTCTTTTTTATTAATGCGATTAAGGAAGCTTTCGGGCAAGCCCTTCTTCAGCTAATTATAGTGTACAAACAAGGAGAGATTATATATCGTTTTTGTTGTTGCGGCGATATATGATTCCCTCTTTCTAATTTGTCGAAATCCGCAAACCGTTTACCATGAATATGAAACTCTGCTGGATATCAGTACATACATGTAGTTTGTTTATCATCCCAGTAAAAACTTTAATGCAGTGATGAAGAATAAGCTAAAACACCAGTTTTGGCAAATTCAGATAAAAATCCAAATTGTATATATTATGATTTAGGACTATGGCCTTCATCAATACAGGGGCGGTTTCAATTTCATAACATCCTATAAGAGGAGTTAACAAATCGGTCGAATTGGCCAAAAAAGTGTTTAATCTGCTGAAGTGGCAGGGCTGATTTTTTTGTCCATGTTACAACATAAATTTGCGGAAGGTTGGTATACATGTTACCAAAGGTGGTATCTCTCCCATTATTGTTGCATCAATTTTAATGCGCCCTACATTTATTCAAAATATTCAATGATATTTAATATTTATTTAACATAGATTATTTAGATTATCATCATTCCTTTTTATAGTTTCATTCCTTTTGTAATTTTGTTATTGTACATATATCTGGATTGGTTATTGGAGCAAGAGAGGACCTAGATGAAGACTGCGGATCACGACCTATGAGGAAGACAACGAATAAATAAACACAATAACTTTAAAAGGTAATTTATTTTTATTTACTTTTATTTATTTGATTTGAGTATGGAAACCCGCTCGGGAAACGTGTATAACACCTAGAAAGAGGAAACCAAGGTCGACGACCCTTCAAAGCTGCAACTTGGTGCAACAATATGTATGGATTAGAACAGTGCATATTTAAAGAGAGAGAGAGGTTCTACTTTAGTACATAGAATAGACTCTATAATACAACAACAACAACAAAAGCCTTTATTGAGGACCTCTCGTCCTATAAAGGATTCGCCAGTTTACAGAGTAAGTGAAGAGAAGAGAACTAAGAATACAGAGAGAAACCTATAAGTTAGTAGGTATAGTATAGTATTTTCTACACTGTGACTATATACAACAGCAGTAACAAGCCTTTTACTGGAATCAAAGTCCCATACAGGATTCGTCATTCTAATCCTGACAAAGATTATTTACATATGATTATTTACATCAATTAGATTATGTATATAGCTTTCTTTTCTCTTCAGCCGTCTTCCAAAATTTGAACAACGCAAACGCACCAGCTCTGTTTCTCACCACCTCATTCAACAGGAGCTCCAAAGAGAGTCCCTCAAGGCCTATTTCACTGAGGAGCACTTCTCGTTCGTCTTTCAGCCCCATAATAGACTCTATAATAAACAACAACAATCGCTAAAATCAAACTTCAGAGACTGAAGACTACAAAGATGTGAGCTCTTTATTTTGGAATGGCTATCTTTCGATCAATGGATCTTTGAAGGGATAATCGACAATTTGCCAGTCCGAAATAAAAGAAACGCATCGCGTCTGTTGCAATCTTATAATTCGTAAAGAATAGACATGGTGTGCTGAACCTGTGTGTTGAACGAAAGTCTGTGTTATATCGGAATTTTTTAATCGAACATTGCTGCCGCTGGGATTCTCTGAATTATATAATGGGAGATAGTCTAGAGAGAGCCAAGGATCTCTTGGAAGATTCAGGCATTTTCTCGTTCTCTTAAATGTCCACTTAAGACATATTGTAGAACGACATTTGAAAATTACCCCGCATGTGTTTCTTTTGAACGAAAAAATTATATTGTATTATAAATTACTTTATATAATATTTACAAACGGAAAAAATATGTCCAGGGTAGCCTAGTGGACATGACATCTGCCCGGTAAGCGGAACACTGTGGGTTCGATTCCCATCCCTTGACACTTTTATTTTTCCGTTTATCATTACTCTTTACAATTCATCCGTTCTTACTTGATCCCTAAGGTTAGAAATAATTGTTATTTCTCCTTAAAATAAATTTCGATTTTTCGTTCAAAAGAAACACATGCGGGATAATTTTCAAATGTCGTTCTACAATTATAAGCCGCATTATATTGTATTATAAATTAAGACATATTCCACTTTATTATTTAACAGTAAATCTGTATTATATAGAATTACTTGTTTCTTCGGAAAAGCCCCTACTTATTAATGTTAATATTTCTAAAGAATGTGCACAATAAAAGATATAAACTATTCACTATCGATTATAGTCCTTTTTAAAAGAATATTCGTTAAAAAAAAAAGAGTATGATAAAATTTGACTTATTGACGGACCTTTATGGAATTGGGAGGGATGGTTCACATTACAAGGTGCCAAAAATTCAGTGAGAAATGCATAAATAAAAAAATAATAATTTTGACCATTGACCAACCTTGTTAATTTTAGCCATTATTACGTACTTAACGAGAGTCGATTAGATCAAGGAAAAAGTCAAGTGTTGAACAGAACCTTTTATAGTGGAGAGCAGTTTCATGGCAAAAGATTATATGTAAACATATTTACATAAAAACAACAAAGTCGTTTTCCCAACCTATGTGGGCCTAAAATCTTTTCATTAACAGGAAACATGCGCCATAACTCAAATAGAAACCCTACTCTCCCTACACTATCCACACAAGGAATAACTCATTTCAATCTTTAGTGACTCTTTTTTCTTAACTCTTAAAAATTTACTATTTCTGGTAAATTCGTATTAAGACTTGTGTCTCAATAAGATTTCTTCTAAATCAACCTTCTAGATAACCCTAGAGCGGAGGACTGTAGATGTTTCAAACGGTGATCCTTAGGTAGCTGGTTCAAAACCGGCTCGAGGCTCTAGATCAATCTATATCCATAATCTGATCGTAAGACATTGCTCTGATTAACAAAGCTGGAGAACCAATTTTATCGTAGTACCGTCACTCTAGCGGTTTTAAGGTCTCGTGATTTCAAATGTAACGATATACATGTTTCAGCGAAATGTTGCATATATTTTATTGAAGAGCTGACGTAGAAGCTTCCCAATTAACAACAAAGTCTCTCAAGGAAGGGTGTATTTCAATAAGGGGAGGAAATCCGCTGAGACAAAGGCCATGGAGAAAGTAACCACCGCCAGCCCCATGACCTACTTGCGGCCAACCTGGGTTCATTCCCCTCCACGCCGACAACCATGTGGGAACATGATTCGCTGCGGCCTATGGGAGGAGGTTCTGTGGGAATATGATGGTAGGATTCCCATCGCAGTATCTTAGGAATGGCGGTAGTTCCATAGGATTCTTCTAGGATACTGAGAAAACACTGTTGCTTTGTGTAATTTTCGGGAGATGTCTAAGCTTAATTAAAATCCCAAAGTATTTAAGGTTCCCATGGGGTTAACTCGATACCGTAGGAATTACTGTAGTTCCATAGGATTCTTCTAGATACTAAGAAAACACTGTTGCCTTGTGTTATTTTCATGAGATTTCTAAGCTTAATTAAAATCCCCAAAGTATTTAAGATTCCCATGAGGTTAACTCGATACCGTAGTATTTACTGTCATTCCATTGGATTCTTCAAGAGACTAAGAAAACACTGTTGCTTTGTGTAATTATCTGGAGATATCTAAGCTTAATTAAAATTCCTAAAGTGTTTAAGGTTCCCATGGGGTAACTCGATACCTTAGGGATCACTGTCATTCCAATGGATTCTTCAAGAGACTAAGAAAACACTGTTGCCTTGTGTAATTTTCAGGAGATGTCTAAGCGTTTAAAAAAAGGCCTCATTAAAATTCCTATAGTATTTAAGGTTCCCATGACTCGATACCATAGGAATTATTGTCTTTCCCTTGAATTATTCAAAAGACTAAGAAAAGACTGTTGCCTTGTGTAATTTTCAGAAAGGGTCTAAGCAATAAAGAATTATCCAGTTTAAGTCCAAATTCAGTAAAGGTTTCAATGGTAACAACTCAGTTCTCTACGTATATTGCAGTGTAGCATCAAAGGATTCTTAAAAAGAGATTAAGACAATCCTAGTGGATTGTGGAATTTTCAGGAAGCATCAAATAATTGAAGAAGGGGATTTATCATAATTCCAAAGGTAACTAGAGTTTTCCATGGGATCGACGCTGTGCTATAGGGATTGAGGAAGTACGCCCATAGACAAAATTTAAATAAGTAGAAATTGTTTGAGGTCGCCGATTGTCTGTTTTATTTTAATTTGAAGAATACAGAGGTAATTTTGTACACACTTGGTTATCTCGTGTCTTCAATAAAGATCACTGTGTATCAAATATCTTTCAGAGTTATTGACTGAATCCCGATATACATTCTAAAATGTACAACTTCCTTAAGTTTTGTCCATGAGTATATTCTAGGATCATTTAAGGGAAAAGACAATCCTAGTGAAAGTAACATCTAGCAGATTATGAAGAAACATGTGGCAGAAGCAGATGTAAAAGAGCCGATTGAATCGAAAGCTTGCGCAGAAATAATTTTCACATTGAACCAAACTCTTCCTCTGAAACCTTTCATTTTAATAATAAATATACAGTATATCAAGATACAAGGGGGATCAATAAATAAGGTGAATTATCTTATTTCTTGATAATTAAAAAGCAAATATAATTTAAACCACAGAATATTAAAATATAACATCGAGAGACTATTTAAGGTGTTCTGTTCTTTTTTCCCACGCGCGGCGCGAGACTTATAAATAAACTAAAATGGAAGTTCCCTTGAAGGATTGCACCACGCTTGAACAACGTGCAGTTATTCGTTTCTTGAACGCAGAAGGTATTCGAACATCTCAAATATGCCAAAGAATGAAAAATACCTATGGTGAGTCTTGTTTGTCTCAAAAAAAATTATAAATGGGTTAACGAGTTCAAAAATGGACGAATTACATGTACCGATATTGAGCGACCTGGACGACCAAGTGTTACAGCGACGCCAAGCACGATAAATGCGGTTGAAAACTTAATTTTGGAGGATAGAAAAATATCCATTTTTACCATAGCCGATAATTTGAATATAAGCTATGGAACTGTGCACACTATTATTAAAGAACAATTGCAATTTAGAAAAATATGCTGCAGATGGATTCCACATTTCCTTAATTTTGACCAAAAACTTAACCGTATTCGGGTTTCAAAGGCTCTGTTAAAGAGGTATGAAGAGGAAGGTGATCATTTCCTTGACCAAATTGTAACTGGAGATGAGAGTTGGTGTTATCATTATGATCCTTCGACAAAACGTGCATCTATGGAATGGAAACGAGGCGACTCTCCAAGACCAAAAAAAAAAATCAGGTCTCAACGTTCGACCGGTTAAGTTTTGTTAACAATTTTTTGGGATGTTGATGGACCAATAATCTGTCTTGATTTTTTATCCTCAAGGCAACGTATGAACAGCGACCTTTATTGTGACATTCTTGTGAATAAGATAAAGCCCGGTATAAGAAACAAAAGAAGAGGGAAGCTTAGTAAAGGTGTTATCTTCCTTTATGATAATGCAAGGCCGCATACATCATGTAAAACTGTATCTACAATCATTAAATTAGGTTTTGAAGTTTTAGAACATCCTGCATATAGTCCAGACCTAGCCCCCTCTGACTATTTCCTTTTTAGACTACTAAAGAAGGAGTTAAAGGGAAAGCGATTTGACTCGGATGAAGATGTCCAGAAAGTGGTGCAAGATTTTTTTCACACGCTTCCTAAGAGTGCCTATAAAGAGGGTATTTACAAGTTGCCAGAACGATGGAGACGATGTATAGAAAGCCAAGGTGATTATTTTGAATAAATCAAGTCCTAATTTTTAATATCGTTCTTATTTTTTTTTTAAATAAATTATAAGTCACCTTATTTATTGATCCCACCTTGTAGTATTCTCTCTGTTATAACGAAGGCGCATCATTTACATTCCTAAAGTGTTAACGGTTCCTATGAGGTCAGATTGCTACCATAGCGTTCCATACTGTAGTTCTTCGTAAGAGTCTTTAAAATCAAAAGACAGCTCAGGTTTATTGTGTCATTTTTTATGAAAACGTCTATGAAATATAAATAAAAATTCGTTTATAAAATTTCCGAAAGTGTTATTTAAAGGTTACCATACAAAACCCACATGGTAACAATTCAGTAGTACTCTAAGACCCTTCAAAAACTAAAGACATCTCAGGTGGCTTATGTAATTTTCAGGAAACGTCTACAATTTAAAGATGAACTCCTTATGTATCTAAAGCTGTAAAAGCTTCAAAAAGCTTAATAAAATTCATACAATACAAAGCAATAACGCGCCATCTAAACACAACGAATGAAAACATTAAGACGCGAATGTTTCTTTTCACAAATAAATCAAACTTCTCTACTGTCCTTACTGTGATTAGAAAATATATTGGCAGGGCTTGGCTCATCAGTGTTGAACCCTCCCAGCGTTTTGGCCAATTTAATCTACCAGACCGCTTCTTTAGAGCTCTAATACTGTATTGGATCATTCTGCTTTTATATGCTACATTTGAAGGGTGCAATCTTAGAAATGGTATTCAAGCAAACTATGGACATAAGCTTTTTGGACAGTAGAATTACATTTAAATATTTGCATCGAGCAATGCTCTTCCGTAAACAATAAGTACAAGTTAGGCATATATTAATACAAAGCAATAACGCGCCATCTACACACAACAAATGAAAACATTAAGACGCAAATATTTATTAAATTTTTTCATCGCAGTAAGGACAGTAGAAGTTTGATTTATTTGTGAAAAGAAACAAAATTTATATAAGAAAATAATATAATTTTCATGTGAAACCTCTAATAAATACACCCATACCTCGCTTTGCGTCGGGGTTACGTTCCAAAAAAACACGACGCAAATTGAAACGACGCAAAGTGAAAATATGTGAAGGCGCAATCAAAAACAAAGGTGTTA